CATTGGGGACCAAACTGCACAGTTTTAATTGGAGGGCAAATTTGTCTAGTGTCAGCATCTCACAGAGTGTAATGCTCCTCAAACTCCTGTGTGTACCAGGACCATTTGGGATCTGTTAAAATGCAGATCCTGATTCTGCAGGTCTGGCACAGTCCAAAGTTCTGTAATTCCAACAAACTCTCACTTCGAGTAGCAAAGGCATAGCGGTTAAGGTGGTGAGCTCTGAACCAGATCACCTTGGTTCAACTACTCCTGTTACTACCACTGCTAGCTGTTGATCCTTGAGCAAGTTACTTAACCTACCTATCCCTTAGTTTTCTCATTAGCAACAGAAGAATAATAGTCCCATCTCACATTTTTATTGTGAAAGTGAAATGGAATATTGAACGTAAATATTCCCAAAATGTAAAATACAGCACCTGACACATAGAAAGAGCTCCATAAATGTGAGTTATTACTCTAACTTCACAGATCAGTGACTGGAGCGCCAAGATATTAAAAAAGAAAAATATTAGCACCTCAAGGTGGAACCCTCAAGGGATTCCTACATGATGAAATTGGAAGAATTGAAAGTTCCATTTGGTGAGGGATAAGTTGTGGTCTGACTTCTTTGGCTGGTTCAGTGGGATTGTTTGAAGCTGTGAATCTTAAAGGGTGGGTATAGATCTGATTCAAAAGGTGGAAGCCTCTCAATTACTAAGATCCTATAAGTAAGGTTGAAATTATGGTATGGTTTAGGTTGTGTGCCACAAAATTATTAGAACCTTTGCTAACTTATAAATGACAAGAAAAATACCATTAGTACATTCCCAGACTTTAAGTTTTCCTATGTCTTTGTTAATAATTATTCTTTTCCCCATGAAAGTACAGCTAGAATGTTTATTAATTAATCTCTTCTTACTTTTTGTTGACAGCCAAGCAATTTATTGGAAATAGTGTGTATTGCCTAATATGCCTCATTGGCCCATGAGGCCAATGTCTTATATTTATTTATTTATTTTTTATAGAATCCCTACTATTTTAATAGGGGGTGAATTTATATAGTTCTTTAAAAATTATAGGTAATAGCATCTAGGCATAAAACTGTGATTTAATATGAATTTATGGTTTTTATCTTCAATTTGTACCTTTTGCCCATCTGGTATGATTTCCGCTGTGATTTCAAACACAAGAGCAAGTGATGACTGATTTTTTAAAATTAATTAATTTATTTTGGCTGCATTGGGTCTTCATTGCTGCACGCGGGCTTTCTCTAGTTGCAGCGAGTGGGGGTTACTCTTCATTGTGGTGCGTGGGCTTCTCATTGTGTTGGCTTCTCTTGTTGTGGAGCATGGGCTCTAGGCACGTGGGCTCAGTAGTTGTGGCTCGTGGGCTCTAGAGCGCAGGCTCAGTAGTTGTGGCACACAGGCTTACTTGCTCCACGGCATGTGGGATCTTCCCGGACCAGGGCTCGAACCCGTGTCCCCTGCACTGGCAGGCGGATTCTTAACCACTGCGTCACCAGGGAAGTCTGATGACTGATTTTAACAAGGATTGATGAATTAGTCACAGAGCTAAGGACTAATCTAACCTACTTAACTGGTTCAACTTTATATAGTAAAAGGGAAGCACAGAAAGATAAATTATTTCATTAAGCACATTTAAGTAAATGCCTCCCATGTTCTAAAATCCTAAAAGATTAAAGTTGACTGCTTTTTGGAAGCTAAACTGTTATCTTCTGAATCACTGCATATCATTTTTATCTTTTTCATTTATAAAATATCAGAAATTTACCTGTCTAGTTTGTGACCATGTTATAGAAACAAAAGGAGTTAATACTTTGTCAAGAGCGCAGGGAAACTAATGTTTAAGCAGAACATTCTAATGCATTGATTAGATAAGTTGGAAATTATTGTGTCTATTAATAAATATTCACAAATTTCTAGGGCCTTTCCCCAGTTTTTACTTTCTGTTTCTTTTTTTGTGGTCTTACCTTTAACCACAACCAGTCTTCTGTATATTTCTACAGCTGACTCTGTACCTCTCAGTTGCCAAGCATTTTATATGCCTCACAATGCCTCTCATGTAATAATCACTTCATGGGAGAGTTGCTAGCTATCCTTCAATAGCCATACCCATCCTCCCCTTCTTCTTCAGTAATAGGAATAAGAAAAATACGATTAGCACATTCCCAGACCTTTAAGTTTTCCTATAGGTCTTTATTAATAATTATTCCTTTCCCAATGAAAGTACAGCTATAATGTTAGTGACCATGAATGTTAGGGCCATCGGGAATAAAGACCATAATTTTCAGCCTCCCCTGTAGCTTTGTGCAGTCACATGACCAAATTCGGGTCAATGAAAAAAAAATGGAAATGGTGTGTGCAACTTCCCATCAAGTGTGCTTGGAAGGACGCAGGGTGACTCTTTCCTTCCTTTTGCCCTCTTATGGCTGGTTAGAAGGTGAGCGTGATGACACCAACAGGAGCTGACATTTTGGATTAAGAGGTCACAGTCACATGTTAAGGAACAAAATAGAATCTGGTACCTGATGGTCATACCATACCGGTGCTTGACTACCTAACATTTATATGAAAACAAACAAACAAAAACTTCTCTCTTGTTTTCTGTCACTTGTAGCCAAATCTAATCCTAACTTCACACACTGAAATATTCATTGTTGCATTTATCTTTCAGGTGTGATCCTTATCATTATGCCTTGGTCTCTGTCATCCATCCTATCTTACTCAGTCATGTTAGGACCTAAGGAAAAGCAAGAGATGCATGAAGTAATACCTGAGAACACTTAATACTGAAGAAGTTAAATTCAAGAGAAGTTAAATTCAGGAGAGGAAAGAGTTAAAGAGGTTAAAAATCTTTTCTATTCCCAGTAACTTTGGTTTATTAAGAGACATTCTAGGTAAGATTTCAAAAGTTAACTCCCAAGGTAATTAGACAAAAGCTAGGCCAGATGTCTAAGCTAAGTTTTGGCTTCAAACTAATTACTTTTGTTAATTACCAGTAATTTGTGTCAGCATCCAACACTTTCCTAAAAACCCTTGAGGGAGGGGGAGGAGGCAGGGAGAGGGAGAGAGAGGGAGAGAGGGAGAGAGGGAGGGAGAGAGGGAGAGAGGGAGAGAGGGAAAGGGAATGGGAGAGGGAATGGGAGAGAGAGAGGATGTGCACAGCAGAGTCAGAACACAAGCATTTTCTAGTACAGTTGTAGTACAGATCTTGGGGTCATTAAAACCTGATTCAAATTTTACACTTCTGAACACTGGGTTTTATGGGAAAAATGGATATTTTCTTCCAGATACTGCAAATATCTTTTACTTCTACATAGGCTTAACTTGAATTTTATGTTCTTTCTTATTTTATGCCTTTTTTTCCCATTGCCAAAATGATTCTTTTCCTTTATCTACAAAATTACACCTTTAGGGCTTCCCTGGTGGCGCAGTGGTTGAGAGTCCGCCTGCCGATGCAGGGGACACGGGTTTGTGCCCCGGTCCAGGAGGATCCCACATGCCGCGGAGCGGCTGGGCCTGTGAGCCATGGCCGCTGAGCCTGCGCATCCGGAGCCTGTGCTCCGCAACGGGAGAGGCCACAGCAGTGAGAGGCCCGCGTACCGCCACCAAATTTCAGCTGAAAATAGCCCTAGCAGAAGTGCCCACGGCTCTTCCTGGAGTCTTTACTTAGCTTCCTTTTCCCAGTCAGTAGCTTCTGGTCATTAGCTCAAAGAACAGCAGAGGGTTCTCAGTGGTTTGTGGATAACTTAATTTGGGGGCACTTTTTACATAGTTCAGAAGTTTACATAGTGCATCACTCTTTGCCTCTTTGTGTAAATGACCCTTTATAAGGACATATATTTATAGATGCATCTATTTGTGCACTGTCTCACCACTTCATGTCTCTTTGGGCCTCCTTTTTTGTGCCTAGAATTTCTTTTTAAATATTTAGTGGCACCATTGTCTACTATTGTCCACTAATAATTCATTGTAGATGTAGTCATTTTTAACCTGCAAGTAGCAGTGTAAATAAGACTTTTTAAATATCCATCACAAACATCTCACATCTGACTCCTGCCCATGCCCCAGGTTCCATGGTGGATCAGTCACTCCTTTATGCCATCTCTATTTAACTGTTTACTGCTTTCTCTCCCTCACCAACTGTTAGAGGGAGGCACCTTGTCTTAACTCATTTTGTAAATCTCCAGTGGCCACCAGGCATATATAAAATGCCTTGAACTATTTTTTGTAGTTAATTAAATATGCAGTCATGAATGTTGCCAAGCCAATGGGAGTTCTAGTTACACACTTTGGTCCTTTTATAAGTTCAGTGGGTCATGAGATGGTGCAGTTTTTCCCATGACCTTTTTTGTGTTTTATTGGTGATTCTCACGTTTATTTTAGCCCATGGGCTATTTCTTTATGCCAAGATATTGACCAACTTACCTGCTTGCAGAGAGAAAAATAATTATTCGTAAAGCTCAGTAGAATGGGAAGGGAAGGGAAGTTTGATGGTAAGGTAAAATGGTGTTGTTTTGTTTTTAATCAGTATTATACATAAATTATCAGCCCATGCTAAAAAGTAAGATGGTTATGTTTAATCATGAAGACTACATATCAAAAGGGGACAATTTGTATATTCATTAACTGCCTATTTCTAGAGAATCTATACTCTACCCATCACCACTGTACTAAGACTTTATGGTTTTTATAGGTATACATCTAAATTACAAAACCAACTGCATTTTAATATATGTTACCCACTGCAGAATTTGTTAGAGAAAATGCATGAGATGTGCTTTTGGGGTGATTTCTGTATGTCAAGTACACACAACCATATTAATTTGCAGGCACATCTTATTTATGTAAACTGAGAACTGCATAGTCTTGATATCATTCAATATTTTCACCCCATGATCGCTGTTCATTACAGTATAATCAGAACTGCTCAATGTAATCACAACTTTCCCTTTCACAGCTTCCCGTCACCAATCTATGTTTTTTTTAATCCCATACCTCCAGTGCTGTTCTGAAATGTCCTGCTGCCACGGCGTATTTCTTTTGTCTGTAGCAAGAGCTGGCACCCTTTAAGGTTACCTGAAGCCATTTGTCAATCTGAGGCAGAAAGGTGAAATTAGGTACACGGAAAGGGTCTACTACTATTTCAGCAGCTTGGCATGTTGGCCGATTCCCAGTGGACATGTAGGACTCTATAAACTCATAGCTCACGTCCTCTTCATTAACGTAGACCAACTTCACCTCCACATCCGTGATATTCTTTAAGGGGATGTGAGGCAGAGGCATGGTGATCAATGGGCTGTCAAGGTCTATTACTTTTGCCTCTTTCTTTCCAGCTGGCTTTTCTTCACCTTCTGCCTTCCGTTTAAAGGCCACTTTCTCTAAATCATTGCTTTGGTTTTTTTTGATGCTCTTTGCCATTTTTATTCTCTCAGCTGTGATTTCTACCTGTTTATCTCCACAGCTTTTCTTAATCTCTTGTGGCATTTCCAGGATGCTGGGTGGGTTTGCTAAGGTGGACATTTTCTTGTTTGTGTTTATCTTTGGAACAAGTTCATCAGGATAGACCCTATTTATTGTATTCTCCAAACTCCTACTGCTTCCTGAATCCATTGATTTCCCCCTGAAACACCTGTAGGGGTGAGAAGAAGACACATAATTACAACAAAATTTTGAAATTCCAGTGGCTTTAATTTAGTCAGACTATAGTCAAATTCATTGAAAACACTGTTTAATTCATTATAGGTATTTATCACCTTAAAGTAAAACTGTATGTACATCATCTGACTGTTTTACTAGAGAAGTATATGTTTCAGTCTCAGAATTCACCAAGAATTTGTTGAAAACACATTTAGACAATGTCTTTCAAAAATAACCATCTATAGCTGAACAACGTTGAATGAACATTTTTATGGGGTGCCCAAACTCATTGAATAGGAAAAGCTTATGCATAGCCACTGAGGACAAAAGAGGACCCCCCCAAAAAGTCTATCTCAATATTAATTTCTTCAGAAAGGCAGGTGGTCTAGAACTCATTATAAAATATACTGTTAACCTGCATAATAGACTTGCGAGTCTAAAGAAACCACAGCTGCTTCCTCTGAAAGGCTTCTAGAAATGTTACGAGCACAATGTTTCCTCAATTTGTTTCTTCTATTAGGAATGGGAATCTCAAGTTTAAACAGCTTTAAAGGTAGCTATTATTCAGAAAGAACTTGAAAGCAGAAGAACGTGGCCTTCACCTTCTCATTAAATATGGAGTCACATATTCATCTTCAGTCTACTCTATTCATATTTTTGTAGCAATGGTATCAATATTGTATTACATGAAGATGAGGCATTTTCCTAAATCACTTATGTTCAAAAAATATAACTAACAGTCTTTCGACTCAAAGGTTTCTGCATACAATTTCTGCTTCTAGGTTAGTTTCAAAATATAAAATGTGTTAAGACCTAATAATGATGTAGTCAGTTCGGTTCCTATTTTTAAGACTCTTTCACCTATCATATCCTGTCCTGGAAACAACTCTGTAGGATAAATAGGAGTAAGGACCACATTTTTCAAAGAAACTAAGGAATAGAGAGGGTAATTTGCTTGTCAAAGTCACATTAGCAGAACCTGGATTGCTATTTCCTCCCTGGGACTTCTGCTCACTAACTCCTAGTCTGGGGTACTTCCTCTAAAGCATGCTGTTCCTTAGGATAGCTAATAGGAAACTCACATCGGAACACAAGGAAAAGAGAAAATGCAAGAAAGAAGGGCTGAGTATTACAATAAGATAATAATGAGATAAAAGCTAACATTCTTGCTTCTTTTCATCTACTACAGGGACAGTGCCTGACTCAAGATAAAGTCTTGACTAGCTTGTCAAATCTTATGATTTTGTTAATGTTGATTATTTTTATTTGTTTGCTTGAAAGACTGGTTTGCCCCAGAAAACCTTTAAGAGACCCTGAAATTTGACACAGTGATTCTTAAGGAAAGTACAGGAAAATACAAAACTGTATGTATGACTCTAACTTTTGAGGCACTTTCCTCCTCCCCACCACTGTACTTGTGTCATCAGAAAAAGGTTTAGGTCAAACGTGGACGTATCGAAACATCTACTGTGATGATCCAAATTATCTCATATGAAAGATGGCATTCCAAATAATTTTAATAACAGCTATCTTGGATGTTAATTAGCAAAAGTTGAATACTAGAAAAATATTTCCCCAGTGATTTATAATGATGTATTAGAGTTTTGAGTCTATGGGGGGGAAGACACCTAAAAGATTAAAAATTTTGCCAGTCTGTGTTATGCTCAGTATTGAAGGAGATAGCCATGACTGGTCATCATGAGACCCATTACTGCAGCTTTACTTCAGGAAGGGTCCTGTTTTCTTTTCCTCTCTTGGATTCATTGCTGGCATCCAATATATCTTTTGGACCACTAGTGTGGCTACTCAGGGTGGTGAGGAAAAAACTGTCTGCCATAACTCTATCTTACGTTTGCCCTTTTATGCCGCATATGGTTTAGTTTGAGAAAAGTTAGCTTCAGTCCTTGAATTAAGATCTCCAGTGGATGGACACTTGAGATATACATTTATACTGATAAGTTTCAGTAGCAGAGATGCAGAAATGGAAGTAGCACAACTCCAGTGCCCCACATGCATTGTATGATTCTTTTAAGCGTCATGTGAAATTTTTAGTAAATTTATATACTGCAGTGTGGCTAAGTTCCAAATAAAGCTTGACACTTATGAATACTATAGAAATTATATTTGTGTTCCCCTCTTTGTCAAATACTATCTGTAATGCAAAAGAGATGTGAAGCACTTGAGACTTGTTTAAAGCTCAAAATATCTGATTTTAAGGATCTCTGATTCATATCTGTTCTTACAATCAGCTTCGAAAATACAAACAGGAAATGTCGGTGAGCTATTTCAAAATTTTCATAGTATCTCCCACGTATCTTTTCTAAACTCTCTCCCTACTTCAAGCAGCAGTAGCTAAAATGTGTCAGAATATCTGTAGTTGGTTGTAGTTAGTAACAGTTTTAACATCTATAGCAGCATTACTTCTCTCTTTCATATTTATTTTATATCTCTTGAACATATAAACTTATCTCTACAACCACTTCTTGTAGAAGGTAATTGTTTTTTTTTCCTCTCTCTCTCTCCCTCTTCCCCTCCACCTCCCTCCCTCCCTCTCTCCCTCTGCCTCTTTTCCTTCAAATTCCCCTAGTCCAATCTTCCTGTCAGTTGTCTGCACCCCCATCCCAACTTTGCACCTTTTTCTTTGCAAGAAAGTTTTATTGTTTTTAAGAAACAGGTTTCTGGGTATTTCTTCATTAGTCCTTAAACCTCTCTATAGAAATCATAATTTTGTTCTTCAGTGCAGTTTTTTACAAGAAACAATAATAGAGGGGGAAAAAGTTTACACTGTATATATAGAGCAATCAGCGGAAAAACATTTGTAACATTTTCAAGCATCTGGAAGAGCAAGTATTCCAAATTTGTCCAAGAAACATATAATTCAGGTCCCCACAAAAACCCAGAATAAATATCCTAATGTCAAAAAAAAGGGTGTAAATGTACAGGCTGAAAAAGCATGGCCCAAACCCAACCAATATTTTTCAGTGTTGTTCCAAACAGGGTGACGTCAGCTTCAGATTTAGAGCCTGTTCTTTATAAAAATTGTTGCATGTGTACAGAAGAGTTATGAAACTGCTCACTTACCGCTTTTTAAAAAAAATATACAACTCCATTTAAATAATTTGGAATTTAAGGCCTTTCACCAGCTAGCTCAATGTGTGTTTCCAGATTTATTTAGCACACCTTCTGTAAACTGCTCTGAAGTCAAGGGGAACTTCTTGTTACTTCCGTAAAGATACTTATTTTCAGTCTGTCTGCTAAGAATTCGCCCTCTTCCTGTTCTCTCCTCATTCTACCTGTCCAAACCTAGCCAGAAGTTATCCGCCCCTCCCTCCTCAGAATACTGACGGCATTCATAGTCCTATTTTCTACATTGCAATTATGCACGAATGACTTATTTCTTCCACTAAGCTCCCTAAAAGTAGAAATGTGCTTTACTTATCTTGACATTAGTTCAATGCTTTGCATAGAGTAGACATTCAATAGATGTTGATCAATATGGATGCTGTGAATCAAAGGCTAATTTAAACATTTTAAGAGAAACAGAATTGGATTTTTTTTTAAGGTATGGTTTTGTAACTTTGTGAGAGGTGTTTCGCTAGATTTTGTTTGGTTTTGTTTTAAATTTGGTCCTGGGTAAAGTACATTTTCTTCTTTGATAGTTCAAGTGAATCATCTACTACTAGATTTAAACTATCAACCTCTTCATTTTTTTATTTTATTTTTTTAGTTGTCAAGTTGATTAACATGACATTAGTCAGTGTTCCTGAGGCACTGAGTTACACTTTAATCATTACTTCAATAAAAATACATTTAGAGAAAACTATTAGACAATCATTATGTATGTCAGAGAAGTATTCACTGATAACATTCTGTAAAAATGCCCATTCTTTCATTTAGAAGACTGTAAGATTGATTTCCTCATAGAGGCATGCCTTAAGAAAAGATCTCCAGCAAATATTGATATGAAACAGAACAATCTTGAAAGTTTTATAATAAACACACGTACTAGAAACAAGGAGAGGTTAATGTTCAATCATTTCCAGGGGGTAACCATTAAAAATTTTTTCAGTGGATTTTCAACACATTTATTTTTTTCTACAAGCATTTCATTAAGCATTCTGTTTTACGTGGGAGATTCTATCGCTTCATAGATACAATCAGTGGTTTACATGGCTATTAGTAAAACAAATTATTTATTAGCATTTTGATTGAAATAGGCAGCTCAAACATGGGTAATCCAGTAAAAGAGAACCCTTAAAAATTTGCTCTTTGAAACATTCAACATCACAGTTGCTATGGTTTTGTTTCTTAAAAAAAAAAAAGATCTAATTTTAACTTGTTGTTAAATGTAACCAGAGAGACATCATAAGGAAAAACATCTTGCTTGTTAGTCCACTAGTACACCTTGATGTTTTAAAAAACACACTACGAAAGATTTTTTTTTGATCCAATAATTATTTATTGGACACCTACCAAGAGAAATGTACTGTGCTACGTGTTATAAAGGAAACTAAGGATGACCAAGACAGCGTTCTTGGCATTCTAGAGCTCATAGCTGGGAGTAAAGGTGTAGGATGGGGAGAGGGATGTACAGAGAAATAACTTTATACAGAGGAGACATTCTCTTACAAGACTGTGAACTGCTGGAGGGGCAGAAATGTATCACAGTCTTTTCTATACTGATGTTTAGTTCCTTCAGAGCCTGGAACATAGTAGGTCCTCAGTACACATTTGTTATTCATATGAGTGCATGGTTGGTGTGAGTAGTATGGTAGCAATAATGAACATGCTTCTGTGGGAACATGGGACTGATGGAGTTTAAGAGATTTGCTTTTGAGAGGAGGAAGAATGAGAGGCATCCCTATACAGGCGATTTTTCTTCTCTTTTATCCAGGTAACCATAAGGAATAGCTCACCATTATCAGAAGGGAGAGTGAATTGGGCTCAGGACGCTTATTAAGAAACACAAAATA